GCTGCTGATCAGTTTCAGCAGCAGCTGACTTGGGGATGCCTGGGTTTCTTAAGTTGAATCTGTATGTAAGCCAGAACTGGCGTCCAGATTCAGCCGTGGTTGAAACTGATCAGTTTCAGCAGTGGCTGACGCCAGTTCCGACTTACATACAGATTCAACTTAAGAACAAACCTACAGTCCCTATCTTGTACGTAACCCGGGGACTGCCTGTACTTTGCACTTGTCCTTATTGAACTTCCTCCTATTTACCTCAGACCATTTCTCCAATTTGTCCAGATCATTTTGAATTATGACCTTATCCTCCAAAGCACTTGCAACCCCTCCCAACTTGGTATCATCTGCAAAGTTTGCTCTTTGCCAGTGGTCTCCAACCTTTTTAAGTGTGAGATCACTTTTTAAATTTAAATGCAATCCAGGAGCTACTTCAAAGCCAAACAACCTTGCCCTGTGTTCTTCCCACCCCTTCTCTGAGGCCCCACCCCTCCTCAATCCTTCCCCCCTCCTCACTGACTTTTATCAGGCTTGGGGCAGAGGTTTGGGGTGTAGGGGAGTGGATGCAGACACTGATCTTGGGCTAAAGGATTTGGAGTGTGGGAGGGGTTCTGAGCTGAACCTGGGGCAGGGAGTTGAGGTGCAGGAGGGGATTCAGGGTACAGGCTCTGGGAGGGAGATTGGGTGCAGGGGGACTCAGGACTAGGGCAGTGATTTGGGGTACAGGAGGGGTTCAGGACTGGGGCTGGGGTTTGGAATGCTGTCTCCAGCTGGGCACTGCTTACCACAGGTGGCTTCTGGGTGGTGGTGCAGGGGGCTAAGGCAGGCTCACTCTTACCCTGGCCCTGCACCACTCCCAAAAGCAGCCAGCAACCTCTCTCCATCCCTGCCCCCATCTGCTCTGTGGAGATGGGATACAGCGTGGGGGTGGGGCACCCTGACATTAGCACCCCCTGCTCTTCTTCCCGTGCCCTGCACAGCAAGCAGGGGACACCTCCAACGTAGAGAGCAGGAGCTGTGGTGCTGAGAGGGGCAGATGAAGTGCCGGCACTTGATAGCCTCCTGGCCAAACCTGTCAAGATCACCTGTCAAAGGTTCCAAGATCTACCAGTAGATTCCGATCTGTTGGTTGGTGACCACTGTTCTATGCCATTATCTAAATTGTTGAGGAAGATATTGAAGAGAACCAGTCCCCAAATTGATCCCTGCTGAAGTCCACTTGTTATACCCTGCCAGGATGAATGAGACCCATTGATAACTACTCTGAGAATGGTTATCCAACCAGTTATGCACCCCCCTTATAGTAGCCTCATCTATATTGTATTTCCCTAGTTTATTGGTAAGAAGGTCATGCAAGATTGTATCAAATGCATTAGTGAAGTCT